AAAAAAAAAAAAAAAAAAAAAAAAAAAAAAAAAAAGAAAAAACAAAATGTGACAAAAAGTAACCCCTCTAGAGCTGTCTAGAATTTATAGGAAATATAGGAAACAGGTAAAAAATTAAATACCATTAGGATGCATTTAGTAAAATCGAGACTTGCAGACAATTCTATAGGATAGGTAACTCAGTTTCTTCAAAAATTAAATTACATATTGCCACAGGGATATGAAAGACAGTTCAGGGAATATAATTAATAATGTTGTAAATATTTTGTAGGGTGTCAGATGGTCACATGTCTTGTTAGGGAGACCACTTCATGGACGATGTAGAGGCTTGACCACTGCACATTGAGTAATATTGTATGTCAACTATAAGTCATGGGATGTGGAGTATAGTGGGGGGAATAGAGTCAATGGAATTGTAATAGATATGTATGATGTTGGGGGGGGTTCTCACTTTGTGAGGGGTAAAAAGTATAACTATTGCACTTTGTACACCTGAAGCTAATAAAAAAAATGGAAAAACACATTGAATTACAAAAAAATAAAAAGTGAAGAGACACCTATAGATTTAAAGAAACTTAAGAATTATTAGCAAAATGTAAGATGTAAATCTTGTCTGGATCCTCGTTCAAAGAAACCAACTACAAAAAATATTAAGAGACAATCAGGGAAATCTGAATACTAGGTGGGTATTTGATATTATAAAATGTGTGAGTTGTCTTAAGACAATGGTATTGAGGTTATGGTCTAAAATTGCCCATCTTTAGAGACATATGCTGAAGCATGCAGACATGAAAATACATCATGCCTGGAACGGTTCAAACCAATTCACTGGGAGGGGGGCTCAGGTGGGGACATAGGTGAAACTGACGACAGGGGAACTGCTGCAGTTGGAGGCTGAGCACACAGGGGTTCAGTATACTAGTCTCTTTATTTTTCTGTATCTTTGAAAATTTCCATAATAAAATAAGTTTTAAAAAATGAGTTTTGTTTTGATAGTGTTGTATTATAAAACATTAAAACTTTTTTTTTTAAATGAAGATTTCCAGGCAGAAAAATATAATTTTCTGATGGACCATTAACTGGTACATTAACTTAAATTTTACAACATTACTTAGAAACTGACAAAGAAAAATAATTTTAAAAATATTATACAAATTACTGAAT